TGTTTGCGTTTACGTAATATCAGTGCTATATGATTGGTCAGCCACAGTTGATTGAATTACAGTTATGGTGTATTTTCATTAAGTAACTGTGATTGGCTGATGTGCTTTTTCCGGTCGTACTTGCCCGATAAAAAACAAATCATCCAAACGGTCGTTCAAATTTAATAAAAATTGCGTCTGATCATTCTGATGATGTACTTTCTACCGTTGGACAAACTGTTCGTAATGTAACTGCAACATTAGAACAGGGAAACACTGATTATAATCAATTACAGAATAATTTAAGAACATGTATTCGTAATGTAAATAGGATTTCTGCGACGTTAGACCAACAGTCATTGGAGGAAGTGGTACAATCAATACAATATGATTGACCATGTGGACGAACTGAGGAGGGTGGTAGGAGGGGCTCGAGCAATAGGGGTAGGTCTAGGCCTAGGCCTACAGCGGCAGATGAACAAGGAAAAACACCGTTTCAACTACCACGTATACGCCCTCCTAAAGGCCTAGACCTAGGCCTGATTCTAGGTTAATAAGAGAACGTTATTGCTAATAAAATATTACTTAATGATAGTCCTGGGCCTAGGCCTATAAGCCTTAATTAAGCCTGTTAAGTTAGGATTGATAATAATGAATACACATTACACAGCAGTAGGCCTTGGCGGCCCGCCTAGGTCAGGCGCGGTGGTAGTACTACTAGGCCTAGGCCTAGAAGACGTGGTGGTAGTAGACTACTACTACTACTACTACTACTACTACTACTAGGCCTACTCGTAGCACTGGCAGCAGTAGTAGTAGAAGGCCTAGGCCTATGCCTGACGTGGTCTCTGGCACGCGCAATAGCTCGAGAAGCCACATTAGCCACTTGCTCCAAATGCCTCCCAGATTCAGACATAACACTTTTTTAATTTTGGGTAACTTCGTACTTTTTTTAAATAAACCACTTAAACACAATTAAACCGTATAGCAAAAGGATTAAAAGGTTTTTCTCTAGCTCTAGGCAGTCGATGACGATTCACAGGCGGAAAATTCAACAGCCAATCACCATCACTTAATGGAAATATACCTTATAAGTGAACATCCAATCACAGTCACTTAATGGAATTCCCATATAATGGTCGAATGCACTTAACTCAAATACAGCAATCAATCACAATCACTTAATGAAATTACCAAAAATAGTCAA